GAAAGCCCGAAGTGATGCGGGTCTCAGACGTTTACAACTTTGGTGAAACCCACTAGCACAGGTATGGTGCTGACAAACCTAGAAACATAATCGGGACGAACGGGGATTCGAACCCACAATCATAGGTTTCTGGCGTGTCCAAGGGACGCAACTCTACACAGCGAATTGCGGAGCCTTAGACGACTGGGCCACCCGTGCCCCGAATAGTAACAGGAAGAATGCGACCAGGATATCACTACTTTCACAATAATCCAGACATACAATTTGCAGTAGATAATACCTTGTTACACCGATATGTTAAATCGTAATAGGGTCTCTTAAAATCAGATCCAAATTCACGTGGATCACTTTGAGTTTTATTCTCACGTTAAGCTGATTCGCCATAAAGGCATGCGTAGACACCTTCATAATACTGAAATACTGGTCAAAGCGGCGTTATACCAAACTCACTCACACACTCACTTTATACATGATGTAGTATCACCCTCGCATATTGGGAATGGTGGTACGTATATTCATCAGTCAACTCTGTGAATGTCCTAAATCTGAATATATCTCCCAAAACAGTCTGCTCGACGATGTATATTGAAAACATTAAATGTAATGAATGTCACATAACCGTCCTCGACACGCAACGTTTCCATCAGCAGTAGGGGGCACGGTTGGCCCAGTCGTCTAAGGCGCCGCGATTCGCTGTGCAGAGTTGCGTCCCTTGGGCATGCCAGAAACCTATGATTGTGGGTTCGAATCCCCGTTCGTCCCGATTATGTTTCTAGGTTTGTCAGCACCATACCCGTGCTCGGGGCTTTCACCGAAGTGGTAAACGTCTGAGACCTGCATCACTTCGGGCTTTCCTCCCACATTAAGCTGACACGCCGCGATATAACTGGAATACTGTTAAAAGCGTTAAACCCAACTCACTCACTCACTCACTCACTCACTCACTCACTCCAGCAGCAGTGTCCTCGGCGACTCGGAGACCTACATTAGGTGTGGATTGATCAATAGTCCGGCTAAAGATCCGGGTTCAGTTGTCGGTGTGAGTACGTGAATAGTGTGCCAACGCCATTGTTCATGCCCCGTCACGAAAACACAATCTGTTCGATGACTCATTTAGTATCCTTTTACAACATAACACTTCATACCAGGCGATAATCAGAGCATCCCACTGGCTGGCAATGTACATCGCCTTCTTCAGGCAATGACAGTGTAATATGATCGCATCGCAAAGACAGTCATTACTCTGTTAAGGTATGGAAGCGCAGTCGTAGCGCTGACACCGGTTTGTGCCTCTGGCGCTATGACGTCAGTCTGTAACGAAGTGACAGTTTACTGACCTACTTTCTGCAATGCAAGTTTAAGCTCTTGCATTAGTTCTGAGGACGGGAATTGCGGATGCGCTGATTACAACGATCAAATCGCACAAAATGCACGTGCGGTACAAATGTACTGTCTACAACGATCAAATCGCACAAAATGCACGTGTGGTACGAGTTTACTGTTTACAACGATCAAATCGAACAAAATGCACGTGCGGTACAAATGTACTGTCTACAACGACCAAATCGAACAAAATGCACGTGCGGTTAGCAGCACGGACAACGAAGCAGGAAGTTAAATTTTGTTTGTTTGCTTGTTTGTTTGTTGTTTAACGCCGCACTCAGCAATATTCCAGCTTTATGACGGCGGTCTGTAAATAATCGAGTCTGGACCAGACAATCCAGTGATTGATATCATGAACATCGATCCACGCGATTGGGATACGATGACATGCATCACCCAAGTCAGCGAGCCTGACTACCCGATCCCGTTAGTCGCCTGGTACGACAAACATAGTCGCCTTTTAGGGCAAGCTTGGGTTGCTGAAGACCTTTTCTACACCGCATCTTCACGGGTCGCAGGAGGTTAAAGATTCTCATGCATTACGCATGTGCAAAGTGCAATTTTTGTTTATTTTCATTTGATTTTTTAAAATATATATTTTAGGCTGTATTTTAAATCTGATTACGTAGTATTTTGTTGCTTTGATACATGAATACATTATTTGTTTCGAGGGCCCAGTTACTTTTGCGGTGTCCTAAAAATAATCTCCAAGGCGAATAACTCAAGGGTATTCATTCAGGGGAGGTAATAATCATCGTTGTATTTACAGTTGACATCGCCGTGGTAGAAGTGTCAGATTAGCTAACGGCCCCAGCCGTACTGTCGTCAGTTGACGCGAATTTGTTGACGTCAGTGGGTTTTCAATCGATGCGATGGAATGATTGTGCGATATCGCCATCAACACAGACCTAACAGCTGCAAATATATGTTGTGCCTGCATCCGGTATGATATAATACATTCACATCCCGATCAATACACACTGTCATTTGAATCCGGTTCACTAAAATAGAAGCTTCACAAAAAATAATATGTATATGATCAATTAGGAGTGGGTTGAATACCATAATGCTGGATTCGTAACTGGTGTGCATGCGGAAGTCAGAGAGCGATAGCTTAAGATCAGACTGATAATATTCCCCATTTTCCGCCAGGTTAAAATAGGAAATACCGTATCGGTGATCTATAAAGTTATGAAAATATTTAGATAATAAAAATAATGATAATAATAACATTTAGATGTGTGATTGAGAAGTTGTAATGAGTTGTAATGAGCTACCGTCAGAGCAGGATATTAAAAAAAAATTATGCTTTCCCTTTCGCGAACAACTGGTGCCATTGCTGATTGTCAGTGATCAATTCATATAATTTTCACCGCTATTTTGCATCTCCCCAAGACAAGGTCGTTAAATGACTATAAAAGTGCAGTTTGAACTCTTGCTGAATAAAGCTGGAATTCGGGAGTTACGTGTTGCCTGGACTAACCAGTCTATGCATAGTCTGTTCAAAATCGCGTAGCGAACTCGACATCCGGTTCGTAAACATGTGCAGATTTCGGTCGACTGCAGGATTTCCAAAGCATGTGTACCGCCAATTGGGTATCGACAGATATATTGCATATTTTTTCACGTTTATAATCAAGGTGCTCAAGTGCTTCAAGACCCGTTTTATTACATTACAGATCTTGATTATGGATCCGATCGTCTTGATTGGGCGCCTCCATTTTTTAAGCAAATACCAGTGATATTAGAGATGGCATCTGATTGGTCACTAGGAGGGACATAGAAGGGACATATAACGTATAATAGCCACTGGTGGCCAACGGCCGAGCCTAGAAATATCAGCCTAGTTCGGCAAGGGTGGAAACTGGACTTTTATAGTCAGTCAGTTAACGCCCTTGCCTCGGGAAGATGCTACTTAGCCCTTTACACCCAATGTAACCTGTTTCGGCGGATACTCGAGACGGGTTATTCCCTGGTTTTAACGTTTTATACTCACGTGTATCACTAGCGGGATGTATGACATTTTACGAGCCGATTATGAAAGTATACCAAGATAGTTCTAGCAGGTTCTTCAACGCGTAATGATGATTAAGCCCTACCCAGAGTTCCTCGCGGTCAATCTAGTACAACAGAATAGACAGATGTGACGTTTTGTCACATATTTCATCTATTACAGTCTAGAAAGTCTACACATTTAGACGAAGGTGCGTCATGAACAGTTAACTTTCATTTAGAAAATGCCGTAAAAAATATTATACACCCAGAAAATCCTATTAAATCCTTAAGTATGATACGAACATTGCGTAGTAGCAATTAAGATCACTTTTAAAATTGTTGCATTTATTTATACGGAGACACCATGGATGTAAAACTTCTAATAAACACAGCCACATAAATCTCGTTTTAATTTGAGAATTGTATAATTATGTTTAACGTAAACGGACACCATGAACTCACGTCTACATGAAGCGGACGTACAGTGTTCCTCCGTCACTAGTCAAGGCTCGCACCAATGTCTACATACCATCTTGATTATCTTGGCTGGGTGGCAACACATTAAATATTTGATAGCCGCGGGTTACGTTTGTTTGACGATGGGGTCCCCAGTGTAACCTGGCGTTTACGGAGTCAGTTAATTGAGCTGCCTGAAGACTCAGGGAACAATTACTACATTGCCTTGAGGTGGTTTCGTGAAATATGCATTGCAGGCGCCGAGGGAGTTTTGCAGGTGCGTTGGGGCCGTGCTTTTGATTGACTTGAATCTCGTATTGATGATTGGCAGTCCGGTACAACATGGAACAGTTCATGATCCGGGACAACATTGAACAGTTCATGATTCGCTACAACATGGATGGGTTCATGATCATCTACAACATGGAACAGTTCATGATTCGCAACAACATGGATGGGTTCATGATCATCTACAACATGGAACAGTTCATGATTCGCAACAACATGGATCCGTTCATGATCTGCTTCAACATGGATCAGTTCATGATCTGCTTCAACATGGATCAGTTCGTGATCTGCTTCAACGTGGATCAGTTCATGATCTGCTTCAACGTGGATCAGTTCATGATCTGCTTCAACATGGATCAGTTCATGATCCGCTACAACAAAGATTAGTTCATGACCCGCTGCAACGTGGATCAGTTCATGATCCGCTACTACGTGGATCAGTTCATGATCATCTACAACATGGATTAGTTTATGATCTGCTTCAACATGGATCAGTTCATGATAAGCTTCAACGTGGATCAGTACATGATCCGCTACAACAAAGATAAGTTCATGACCCGCTGCGTGCAACATGGATCAATTAATGATCCGGCACAACACGGATGGGTTCATGATCCGCTACAACAAGGATAAGTTCATGATCCGGGACAACTAGGATCAGTTCATGATCCGCTACAACATGGATCAGTTAATCATCCGGCACTAAATTGGTTCACTTCATGACCCGGCACAACATGGATCAGTTCATGATCTGCTACAACATGGATCCGTTCATGATCCGCTACAACATTAAGCAGTTCATTATCTGCTACAACATAGATCCGTTGATGATCCGGCACAACATAGATCAGTTCATGATCCGCTATAACATGGATCAGTTATTGACCCGGCACAACATGGGTCAGTTCATTCTCCGCTACAGCAAGGATTAGTTCATAATCTGTTACAACATGAATCAGTTCATCAGTTCTGCAAAACGTTTGGACAAGTTTCCAGTTGAAACACAAAAGGAACTGATTTTGATTATGCTTTGGCACAATTTGAGTCAGTTCATGGTCTGGCACAACATGAATCGGTGTATGATCTGGCACACGAGACGTTTCATGATCTGGCCCATAAATCAATTCATGGACTGGCACAAATACGCCGGTTCATGATCCAGTACAACATCATATTTTCTGGTCCTGTACAAGTGTATTTTTCTTGGAACGATACGATCTGCGCAGACAAAAATGAACACTAGCGTAACGTCTATATATACTGAACAGCATTGAAAACGCACCACCATGAAAATGGATGTATTTTTATCCGGGCTTAAGTCATATGAAAATATATAAGTGAATTAGTAATATACGACGTTCTGGACGAAGCATGAAGAAGAACAGCTCGTCAAAGCACATTCCTAAATTTGTGAGCGAAATCGCCAAAACGCAACAAATTGCGTGCACATCATGGAAGCCACATCACTTTTTGCTGCAGACGTAAAGGGTACTGACACAAGAAATGCCAAGATTAACAGCAGAGGAACGTGAACGTGCCTTGGGCATGCTTCAAGTTGGTACGTCAAGTAGAGTCGTTGCACAACGGTTTCAATGCCATCATTCAACAGTCCTCTGGCTACTGAGCAGTTACCAGCAGACAAGAACCACCAGAGATCGACCACGTCCGGGTCAACGTCGTGTAACTACACCACGTCAGGATCGCCATATTGTTCGTCGGCATCTTCGTGATCGTACACTTCCGGCTACCAGGACTGCAGCAACCGTACAAGGCCGACGGAATTGATCAGTGCTGACACCGTACGTCGACGTCTCTGCTCAGCAGGGCTACGTGCTCGACGTCCATATGTTGGACCCATACTCACTGATCGACATCGAAATGAAGGTCTGCGTTGGGCCAAAAGGCATCGTCATTGGAGATTGCGGCAGTGGCATGGTGTGCTGTTCTCTGATAAGTCCCGTTTTCATTTATGGAATGCTGACGGTCGATTGCGAGTGTGGCGCCGACGTTGAAAACGTTACCACAATGACTGCGTTGTACAGACAGATCGATGAGGGGAGGGAGTGTCATGGTGTGGGGCGGCATCAGTCATAACCATCGAACAGAGCTCCATGTTTGTCGTGGAAGAGTTAATGCCCTTTACTACAGGAATAACATATTGGCAAATCACGTCATCCCATTCTTTCATCAGCACCAGGATATGCACACCTTCCAGCAAGATAATGCTTGAGCGCACACAGCACGTGTTTCAACACAGTACCTAGCAAACAATAATGTGCCTCTGCTTCCATGGCCAGCCCTGTCACCCGATCTATCGCCAATTGAACATCTATGGGATTACCTGGGTCAACGCCTCTCACGTCATCCGCAAGTACAGAACCTGAGAGAACTTGAAGATACACTACGTCAAGAGTCGAATGCCCCAGAACACTATTCGCAGACTTATTCGATCAATGAGAAGACGTTGCATGGCCCGTGTTGCTGTCAATGACGGAAATACCAGATATTGACTTTTCATTTTAACCCTATGTGTCTTCCTTACACTGATGACGTAATTGTAATTAATGTGTGGTATTCCTGTTTCCTTTGTCGTCTTTCTTAATAATCCGCCTACGTCTGTTCTAATCAAAATCGGTCATTGCTCAAGTTGTTTTTGTAATAGTTCAAGATTAATTGTTGGTGCGTTTTCAATGCTGTTCAGTATATTATGCGAGTATACCACTATTGCTGCTGCTATTACAGATACTGATATACCTCGTGCTGCCACCACTACTACCCATGCAACTACTACTGCTGTTGTTACCACTGTAAAGGTTGTTACAACTGTAACTGCTACTGATGTTTTCACTACTGTAACTGCTACTGCTGTTGTTACCACTATAACTGCTACTGCTGTTATTACCACTATAATTGCTACTGCTGTTATTACCACTATAACTGCTACTGCTGTTATTACCACTATAACAGCTACTGCTGTTATCACCACTATAACTACTACTGATGCTGTTACCACTATAATTGCTACTCCTGTTGTTACCACTATAACCGCTACTGCTGTTATAACCACTATAACTGCTACTGCTGTTATTACCACTATAAGTGCTACTGCTGTTATAACCACTATAACTGCTACTGCTGTTGTTACCACTATAACTGCTACTGCTGTTATTACCACTATAATTGCTACTGCTGTTATTACCACTATAACTGCTACTGCTGTTATTACCACTATAACAGCTACTGCTGTAATCACCACTTTAACTACTACTGATGCTGTTACCACTATAATTGCTACTCCTGTTGTTACCACTATAACCGCTACTGCTGTTATAACCACTATAACTGCTACTGCTGTTATTACCACTATAACTGCTACTGCTGTTGTTACCACTATAACTGCTACTGCTGTTGTTACCACTATTACTACTACTGATGTTGTTACCAGTATAACTGCTGCTGCTGTTGTTACCAGTATAACTGCTGCTGTTGTTACCAGTAAAACTGCTGCTGTTGTTACCAGTATAACTGCTGCTGTTGTTACCAGTATAACTGCTGCTGCTGTTACCAGTATAACTGCTGCTGTTGTTACCAGTATAACTGCTGCTGTTGTTACCAGTATAACTGCTGCTGTTGTTACCAGTATAACTGCTGCTGCTGTTACCGCCATAACTGCTGCTGTTGTTACCAGTATAACTGCTGCTGTTGTCACTAGTATAACTGTATAACTACCAGTCACAGAGTAGTAGTAGTGGTAGTAGTAGTAGTAGTACATAACAGTAGTCGTCGTTGTAGAAGTACATCGAGTACTAGTAGTTAGTATAGTAGAAGTTGTTCGTAAAAGTAGTACTAGTAGTAGTAGCAGCAGCAGAAGCAGTAGTAGTAGTAGCAGCAGCAGTAGGCGCTACATTGCGTGTCTGTATTCCTTTGCCCAGATGGAGTTGTTAATTCCATCGTCAATTGTTGTGTCACAACAGATGTCTGCGCGCTGGCGGATGAACCTACAGTCGCACCCGCGGGAGACCACCTTTATCCGTGGCGTTACATCACTGATCATCTGGGGTCGGTCAGGCACTATCTGCAGATCGATTCGCGGTCAAATCTGTCCACACACACATTTCACACATTTGTCAAAATTCTATCTGAGAGATTGTTGGCTGAGACTGATAGTGTTTTTCAACATGTCCATTTATAATCTGTCTAAACACAGGTCAAACAACGCCTATTTCAATTTGAACACTCTCCAATATGTTTGGTTTATAGATACATATGTAGGTCAGCTGTAAGCGCTGACGTGGACGGTGTACTGTCCCCCCGACTCAAGGCTCTTTTTTATGTATAAATATGTTCTCGTGCCCTAGAAAACGAAATTTATGATATATTGAGGATCCCGACCCGCGGGAAATAGCTTTTGTAGCCTGGAAGGGTTTGATAAGAAAATACTGACGTATAAGTATGTGACTTGACTTCGCTGTGAAAATGATCTTAATATTTGAGATATGATATTGGTTAGAAGAAATGCGCTTGAATTGATCCGGTGACATGATAAAGGGTCAAGAAATTCAGGGAGGTTATTTGCCTCCTTGGCCCAAATAACTATCGTGGGAATTATTACGACGGGGATTTCATCGTGAATGTGTCAAGGGAGGAATGTTTCCGCTGTCGTCAGTTTTATGAAAGAATTGGTAAAACGTGTTGGAATTATGCACACCGTAAAATCCGGAGGTTTGTTTGTAAATTGTGCTGTTTGAAATTGTTATGACAGCTCGTCGTGGTATGAATATTAATGGGAAAGGATAAAGCTGTTTCAATGCACATTTTCTGAATTGCAGATCGATTGGAATTCCGCTGTGCATCCCTGCATCATGTTTTTTTGCACATCCCACACGAGCACATGGAACAGACGCAATGACTTTATCAGATGTGGCTAAACCGGCCTTCCCGCTCTTCCAAAGATAAGGGAAGAAATATCGTCATTTAACTGAGCTAAAACGTCACGATGCTTGATCATACCTTCATCTAACGCCACGCGCGAAGATTTCGTTGCGTTGTACCATTAACACAGGACACAACACAGCAGAGGATGCGCCCGTATGCTAACACGAGCTAACTATTGTCCGCTTCTACCGTTGAGTGTTGACGATTTGGGAGAGCGTGTCGGCGGTATCTTGAGACCAGCCGCGGGCAGGTCGTCAGCTTGGGGCGACGCTTCTATATTTCACATGACTGCAGTTCGCAGGGGAAGGTGCGATCAGGCCGAGGAATATGCTGTCAGGGGTCTACCAGTTGTAGAATGACTTCCTTTCCACAGCGCCCCTCCGATTGATTGTTGTCACTATTTAGTGTCGTCTGCAAGTAGCAGGAAGCAGACGACAGTTTCCCGCGAGAAGAGCGAACGTAAACAGCACGGAGTGTGGGTTGATCTTATTGTAGTTGTGTTGGATACTGTTTTGTTTGTCGGTGATTGCTGACATTTGTCGGGAAGTTGTAGACGCGGATTTCGACTACTAATGGTGGAGTTTACGTGAAGACTAGCCCAAGGGGTGAATTTCAACAGCAGCCATGTCATTTTTCGGATCTGCAGTCAAAATATCATCACTGAAGAGGTATGTCACGGTTGAGGTTTCACAAGTTGTATGTCACTGAACAATTTAAAATTTGTGAATGTCACTTGGTGCATTATTTTAAAAACAGGAATTTGACTTGATCATGTTTTGATATACAGAAATATTTCATCAATATGTGTACGCGATCGACAATAATTTGAAATTCAGAAAGATTTATTGAACGTTCAATGTAGTTTATTCGTAACCCGAATTTCAGTGTATATTTGTCAAATCTCTGCGATACATGAACACGTCTTGGGACGACTAGCTGTAACAGCTGACCCCGTGAATCCGGACGCCCGCTTTATCCGGACGAATACAGCTGGGAACGTCTACCGATAGATGTACAGGGCCATTACTACATACTAATGATTTGTTTATCCAGAACAGTCGTTATTCTTATTATTGTACCGTCCTGTGTATGGGATTAAGTTATGTAAGATACCATGTAGTTTCAGTTAAAGTTGAAGTCCTTTTGTACAGAATACACAGATAGGTCACCATGCACGCAAAGTGAGGTGGTTGAAATTGTCTGCTGTTGAATTAATCAACAGGTCGTGTCCAAATGGGTGTCATTCAAAGGCCTAATGCTGGTATTTTGAAATAACATCGTCAACACATGTTTCACGTTATCGTGTACACAGGAAAAGGGTGTATTTTTCCAAAGACGCCTTTGACGATCGCTCTTCGTCTTTCACTCAGAACCATTCATTACTGCTTTAACGACTGCAGTTTCAGATTACTGCACTGACATCCCCATAAATCACTTCTAATATTTACAACAGGCTTAGCAGTATCATATAATTCAACTATTAGCTTAACCCGTATGCTGCTAACTATAGGCATTCATTTATACCATACTCCTATGAAAATCGCAGAGCATACATATATATATCAGCAAGTTATATGAGAGAGAGAGAGAGAGAGAGAGAGAGAGAGAGAGAGAGTTATACCCTCTGCCCTTCAAGTGCGAATAGGTCTTCAGCAACCCATTCTTACCGTGATAGGCGACTATGCCTGTCGTACGAGGCGACTAACGGGATCGGGTAGTCAGGCTCGCTGACTTAGTTGATGCATGTCATCGTATCCCAAATCCCAATTGCGTGGGTCGATGCTCATGATATTAATCACTGGATTATCTGGTCCAGACTCGATTATTTACAGACCGCCGTCATTTAGCTGGAATATTGCTGAGTGCGGCGTTAAACAACAAACCTACCAACCAACCATGTCCTGTTTAGAACCGATGCAAGCCACTGACCAAAAACCTTTTTTTTTTTAGTTACATAGTTTCATTCAGAAATAAGTTATTACCATTATATACGAGTTTGATGGATGCATACCTTGCGAGCCATTTCATTAAACGTTGCAATGAGTATTTTTAGGATTAGTCACGGATGTCATAAAAATGTCACTGAAATGAAATATGGGCGCGCTATAGTGGAGGAAACAGACACGTTGCTACCGCCTGTGGTGGTACCCTTGAAATGACATGTGTCATGTATAATTCGTGTTAATACATTTTTATGAACGTTTAAATCTGCTTTTATAGTTTTACCATCCGTTACATCAACTATGAAATTATATCACACAAACAGGAATATCCTTACTCAGCCTGTGGACCGGGTACGTGCAGACACTTAATATCTCTCGTTTTTTCCTAAACGTCCTGCTTCAGGCGTTTGAGGAAATAGACGCCGGGGTTGGGTTCTGCTTTTGAAATGAATATCACTGTTGTACGTCTTTCAAATGTAAATCGATTGCGACACATTCACAATTCGTAATAGCTTGTATTTTTCCAAAACGCGAGACGCGTCACTTATATAAGGTCGAATATGGTATACACATTCATTGAAGTAGTAATACAATTAAATATGATATTCCATGGGCGGATACAGGGGGGGGGGGGGGGGGGGGGGGGGGATCTTTATTTCTGTATAAATTACCACCAAAGACAATAAATAGATAATAATTGTGCAACCCCCCTTTTAAAAAAAGCTGTATCCGCCCATGTATTCATAGAAATTTTATCTGGCTGAATATCTGCTCACGTGATCTCCGAGCATGGTGTAGGGTTCCAGGGAGGTTTCAACTTCCGGCACGTAACCCCCGAGGATATGCGCATGTCCCATGTGCTCGGGTACATCCGGGTGATTACAATGGCCGTGTTGGTTTGTTTGTTTATTGTTTGACGCCGCACTCAGCTATATGACGGCGGTCTGTAAATAATCGAGTCTGGACCAGACAATCCAGTGACTGACATCATGAGCATCGATCCACACAATTGGGATCGATGACATGCATCAACCGAGTCAGCGAGCCTCTTACGACAAGCAGAGTCCTATTTCTATGGGTGGGTCGTTGCTCATGTTATCGACCACTGGTATGCCTGAACCAGACTCGATTATTTACATGCAGCCCTTGCAACGCTCGAATAATGCTGATTGCGGCTTTTAAAATCATTCGCTCACTCATTCAACAACCACGTTTGCGTCCTAAATTCGATTATCTACAAGCCGCGGCCTTGATGCTGAAATAATATTGACAACCTATACATCCACTTATTCAGTGGAACAAAAATCCGAAGAAAATATATGCTTGTCTCGAAAAAGCAATGGGTTCGGTGTGTTACTGAACATGTCCTATCTTGCATGTCGAGATATGGGACTTAAGTGTTTAGCTGAACATTGCCCATCTCGGATGTCGAGATATGGGACTTAAGTGTTTAGCTGAACATGTCCCATCTTGCATGTCGAGATATGGGACTTAAGTGTTTAGCTGAACATGGCCCATCTCGGATGTCGAGATATGGGACTTTAGTGTTTAGCTGAACATGTCCCATCTTGCATGTCGAAATATGAAACTCCAGTGTGTGACGTAACATGCCCCCATCTCGCATGTCGATGTATGGGACTCACGTGTGTGACGGAACATGGCCCATCTCGGATGTCGAGATATTGGACTTAAGTGTTTAGCTGAACATGTCCCATCTTGCATGTCGAGATATGAGACTCCAGTGTGTGACGGAACATGTCCCATCTCGCATGTCCAGATATGGGACTCACGTGTGTGACGGAGCATGTCCCATCTCGGATGTCGAGATATGGGACTCAAGTGTGAGACGGAACATGTCCCATGTTGCATGTCGAGATATGGGACTCACCTGTGTGACGGAACATGTCCCATCTGAGATGTCGAGATATGGGACTTAAGTGTTTAGCTGAACATGTCCCATCTCGGATGTCGAGATATGGGAGTAAAGTGTGTAGCTGGACATATCCCCTCTTGCATGTCGAGATATGGGACTCAAGTGTTTAGCTGAACATGGCCCATCTCGGATGTCGAGATATGGGAGTAAAGTGTGTAGCTGGACATATCCCCTCTTGCATGTCGAGATATGGGACTCAAGTGTTTAGCTGAACATGGCCCATCTCGGATGTCGAGATATGAG